AGCTGATAAAGGAGAGTGACATTATCCATTTCAACACTTTGTTAGTGCCGAGTTTGCTTCTTCCATAACCATGCTTTTTCGGGTTCCCGGGTGAGCTTATATTGCTATTTCTGTTTGTACATTTATTGTGTAAATTGGTGTATGATTTGTTATCTTGGTGTTGCATTTTTCTACCATGATGTTTGGTTTTTTATATGTCTTCAATTTGATTAATTTGTTTTATTCTTTAGAACTATTTTATGTGTTATCAGTTTTCTCAATTACATCGACAGGCAGACTTTTACTCGTAAAATTCTGTAGATAGTTATTGTTTCTTCGACATTCACTCTTTAGATTAGAGTTGCTTCCTGTAATAATCATATGAGATTATTTATTTGTTTTTCATTTTCACCTTGATGTTTAGTTTCATAGGCGAAAAATAAGCCCTGCATCCACGTTGTTTCCATTTAATGGGATTTCTCGTATGTGTGTATATGTTGGGAAATAAAACGAATCGAGGTAATATATATGAAGTATATGATCGCAAACAAACAACAAGATAAAAGACAGAATATTAATTGGTAGAGGAATTGAGTATTTTATCCAATTGACTAATATGGAGAAAACAAATATAATAATTGTGCCTGCACACTTATTTTATATTGCAATAATACAAAAATTGTGAAAAGAGTCTAATATTTATAAGGGTAGATGCCAAACCTTAGAAATACCACAGAGATGGAAACAAAATAAAAAATCACATGAAATAAAGGAAATAATATTTTTCCCAATATTTTTTCAATAGAAACACGTGCAAAGAATGAAAAAATATTTTCTCAAAAAATCTAACCTAATTTGGATCAAAAAAATCTAACAATCTCCACCTTGACACAAATTTCGATGCAACGAACGAAGCTTCAAGATTTCCCCGCCTAGAAAAGTAAATCCGACTGCAATGAAAAATCCGAACTCTTCAGTAAGAACCAAACTTTTTCCAACATAAAAATACTCCTCATCTTCCACGGTTTCCAACGTGGATACATAAACCCAAACACCGGGATCCCCAAAATTCACAAAGAATTAGAAAGTACCGTACATTGTCAAGCACACCCTGTACAAGGATCAACTCCCAATTCTTTCATAGAATGCTCCTAGCTAGTCTCAACACTTTCAAAAACGCTAAAAGCATGTGCAACCGAATGGGCATCCACGTACCTATCTTCAGTGGGTCTATCCCTAGTCGTTGAATAGGATGGAACTGCAGGTAATTGTGACAAAACAGAATTACTCATATACTCCAAACTCGACTGGGTACTATTTTTCAATAAGACCTCTAACCAAATCTCAAAGGTATAGTACCAAATTGAATCTCCACCATGATGTTGAATATATGCTGACTTTTTTTTCACCAATTATGTTCGACTTTGGAAGATGTACAACTAGGACATTTTCCACCCCTCTAATACAATACGAACACCATTTTGAACCCTCAAGACTCCACCTCCTCTAGAGAACGTGTACCCTTTTTAATCAAGAGTACTCAACGAAATGAGATTCTTCTTCAAATCTGGAATATGTCAAATGTGATCAAGTGTTCTACATGTTCCATCCATTAGCTTCAATCTGACTGTACCATACCATCTACCTAACAAGGTTCGTTGATACCCATGACAACGACACCTTGCGTCACCGTTTCATATGTTTCAAATAAATCCTGATTGGAACACATATGGAACGCACAAACTGTATCCAAAATTCACTCCTCGTCAAGTTTGGATTCCACATCAAAAATCGTCAAAACATGTCCATCACTCAAATAATTCTCGGCTATGTTGGTCTTATCTGAAATACTTGATTGCTTCCCATAATTTGCAGTCAAATTACTTTTGTTCTGCAATTTGTTGCAATCTCTATTAATGTGTCCTTTCTTCTTGCAATAATAACAAACCTGATTATTGAAATTTGATCTCGACTTACCTCTTCTCCGATCACGATGAACAATAAGGCCTTCTCCATCTCTGATCTCAGATCCAACTAGATGCTTTATGTTCTCTTTTGAAAATAAAGCATCATACGCATTTTCAATATTGAGAGTATCACGACTGTACAAGATCGTGCCTCTAAACGAAGTAAACAAAGCAGATAGTGAATAAAAAAGGATTAAGGCCATATCTTCTTCATTATACATTATCTCTAAAGTCTCCAAATTAGCGAGGATCTCCTTGAACACAGTCGATGATCTTCCAAAGATCCGCATTCAGCCATACGATGAGAATACAATTTCTGCTTCAAATGCCATTTGCTTGTTAGACTTTTAGTCATGCATAATTGCTCCAACTTCAACCACAATGCAGCTGTCGTTTTCTCCTTCAAAACGTCCTGAAAAAATATTGTTAGAGAGATGAAGATGGATATGTGAAAGTGCCTTCCGATCCTTCTGTTGTTTCTCCTCCATCATCCAAGTTGTAGGCATTTTTTCAAATCACAACAATTCATCATCCAAATCCATCTGCTCGAGTAGAACTCACATTTTCACTTGCCATAACGAAAATCTTGTATTGCAATTCAAGAGCGAAATTTCATATTTCTAGGCTGCCATCAATAATAAAAACCTCGAACAAATAAAACGGATCGAGATAATATATATGACAAAATATGAAGTATATGATTGTAAACAAACAACAAGATAAAAAAAATAAAGAATTAATTGACAGATGAATGAAGTATTTTATTCAATTGACTAATATGGAGAAACAAATACAATAATTGTGGCTACACAATTATTCTATATTTTAGTGATACAAAACTTGTGAAAAGAGTCTAGTATTTATAAGGATAGATGCCAAACCCTAGAAATACCACAAAGATGGAAACAAAATCACAAATCACATAAAATAAATGAAACAATATTTTTTCAATAAAAATACATGCAAAGAAGGAAAAAAATATTTCTCAAAAATCCAACCTAATTTGGGTCAAAAAAATCTAACGGTATGTAATAATTTTTCGATTTTTAGTTCATCGTCCTTCATTTGGAAATTAATATTTTTAGTCTTGTCCTAGTTTTTGATCAGATGTTGTAGTGGACATTTAAATGTTATGTTTTTGAAGTAAATGGCTTCTCTCAAGTCTTCTTCAATCCTTGTCGCAACAAATTTTAGTAGAATTTCTATTATGAAGGGCTTATGGTGTTTATAATTACTTGATAATCATATTGTTTCATTTTCGTTTCTTTTGATTAGATGAAAATTCGGAGGATTTTGGGTGTTGAAAGGTTCAAATCAATTTCTGAAGGAAATGAAAGAGGAAGAAAAGAAGAAAAGAAGGGTATTCCTGAAAATATTTATAGTTCGGATAGGAACCATTGGTTTGATTTGAATTCAGTTGTGACGATTGGATTACTATTGACATGTATGAATCAAAGAAGACTAGGATGTGAATAATTAGCAATATATCATATCAGAATGTATCCAATCCTTCTTGTAATGGCAGTACTGATAATTTGTAGGGTGAAGACTGTTAGAAATTAAAATCAAAAACCGAATTGAGACGAAACCAGCAGGAAATGAACAGATTAGCAGAAATAAAATGATAGATTCAATATGAATAAACACATTGAAGGAACATGATGAAGAAGGAGATTTATTATTCATCAAATGGTCAAATGTAAATGTGAATACAATACTCTATTTATAAAGTGAAATATCTAACCAACTAACTACATAAGAAGAATCTAGAAGAAGTAAATGTGTAGGCCGTGTGAACTCATTTGCTGATGACTGGTGAGCTGGAGAATAATCTATTAAACATGTGATTTGCTGAGATTAAAAGGATCTGGAAGAAGGGCAGGCTGCTGTGAAGCTGATGAGTTTGTGAACATGTGGAATATTTCAACACTTCCCCCCTCAAGATGGAATATCTTGAATTGTAGAACTTCAGCAGAGAGATGCAAGAGGAGCCATTGGAATAGATGTCTGGGGTCGAGAAGAATGTCCAGCAGAGAAGCATTCTAGAGAGAGTAAGAAGTAGATCAGATTCTGATCGAAAAACATCAAGAAAACTTCACCGAAATAAGTGAGCATCCATGGCTCTGAAATCGGGCATTTGTTGGAGAAAAACTTCATCAACATTGATGAGTAAAAATGAAAAAAGGAAATGCTAAACAATACTCCAGCTAGGACAGTAAATAAAACCACCAGCGCAACTCCATGCGTGTGCAAGCATTTTAACAAACACATGGCGGACAAGAATGAAAAAGAAGGTTTGATGGCTTCCTGCACTGTAGTGAGCAGCAGCAATACCATATACCCTTTTCAAAATTTCACGAATAGTAACAGTGTGAAGAACCAACAGTAGCACAGCAAGAACAAACCAGGAACAGAAAAACCAGCAGAAGAAACTGATAGAATTGCAAACGGAATGAGCATTTGCTCTGATATCGTGTTAGAAATTAAAATCAGAAACTGAATTGAAACAAAACCAGCAGGAAGCGAATAGATTAGTAGAAATAAAATGATAGATTCAATATGAATAAACACATTGAAGGAATATGATGAAGAATGAGATTTATTATTCATCAAATGCTCAAATGAAAAGGTGAATACAATACTCTATTTATAAAGTGAAATATCTAACAAACTAACTACATAAGTAGAATTTAGAAGAAGTAAATGTACAGGCCGTGTGAACTCATGTGCTGGTGACTGGTGAGCTGGAGAATAAACTATTGAACATGTAATCTACTGAGATTAGAAGGATCTGCAAGAAAGGCAGGCTGCTGGTAAAGCTGATGATCTTGTGAACATGTGGAATATTTTAACAAAGACCCTCAGGATGTTGATTATTCTCATATATCATCACTTAGCGACAAATTAGATAATCTAATTTTTTCTAGGTTTCCAAGGTCAGAATATTGGACGTTATGCTTTGTGAACAAGAGATGTTTGTCTCTTTTAAAAAGTGGCGAGCTTTACAAGATTAGAAGGGAAAATGGAGTTAAAGAACCATCTGTTTTCATGCTAATGACTGAGGAGGTAATTGGTGGGCATTTGATCAAGAATTTAGGTCCTGTAAGAAGCTTCCATTTCTACCATCAGATCTTTGTTTTGCTTCTGGAGATAGAGAGACACTTTGTGCTGGTATTCACCTTCTTGTTTCGGCGGAGAGATTCATGGTCTAGTTATTTGGAGGTATGAATTAGTTGAGAATAAATGGTACAAGGGTCCATCTATGATTAGCCCGAGATGCTTGTTTGCATCTGCAACTTGTGGTACCTTTTCTTATGTGGCTGGTAGCATGGGGTGGCAGCAAATAGTGAAGTCTATGATACTGCTGAAAAATATAATCCGGATAATAGATCATGGGAATCACTTCCGAGGATAAAAAAGAGAATGAAGCTTTGCTTCGGATGTTACATGGACAATAAATTTTACGTGATTAGTGGGAGAAATAATGATGGAGAACTGACATGCGGTGAATTTGTTGATGAAACCAAAAGCACATGGAAACTCATTCCTGACATGTTGAAGGATGATCATGTACGGTCATCCCACTCTCTACCATTTCTTGCTGTCGTAAATAATGAACTCTACTTACTTGAATCTTCTTCCAACCAGTTGAAGATGTATTTGAAGAAGACCAATACATGGAAGCCGCTGGGGCAAGTTCTTGTGAGAGCCGCTTGCAACAGAGGTTGGGGAGTCACATTCAAGTCTCTAGGAAATAAGCTGCTTGTAATAGGAACATCGGTTTTTTCCTGTGCTAACAATTACATGGCTCTATATACCTACTGTCCATATGCCGATGCCAGTGAATTGCAGTGGAGACGTATTGACAATGGTAGAAATTTGCTTAGTCAATTCATCTTAAAGTATTATGTTATGGCAACTTGAGGGAGGATTCTTAAAGAATTCGAATCCACATTACCATAAAGAACACTCGTAACAAGATTGTTTGTCCTCGATGTGTAATCCTAATATTACTACTCGTACTTAATGTAAATCCTCCCCACTTTTGGGTTTGTTCCCTTGATTTACTAACCTCTGTAATATATTTACCTCATTTTATCGTGGAAGTTACTCATCTTTTGAACTTCTCGATTTTTCTTTGAATTAAAATTCAAAAAGGAAAACAAGTTAATAGCCTTGAGTAGAAACCAATTGAGTTTACAATTGTATTGAATTAATTTACAAGGTTGTAAAGCCAGCAATATATATACAAGGTGCTGGAGTAGTGAGCAAATAAAAGAGACATGTTCACGTGAGAATAAAGGTTACAACAATCATTGTGGTCCCAAACAAATCTCACAACTATCTTCTGAAAGGCTGTAACGGAATGCAGCTTTCATGCCAATAGCAGTGAGTGTTGATGAGTGAATTGATTGCAGTTTGTTATGTATTTTAACATCCTTCCTCAAGCTGGAGTTTAACCATTAACTCCAAGCTTGTCTTGAGAAACAAGAACATGGAATGGGAAAGAGGCTTGGTTAATAAGTCAGCAGTTTGATCAGATGAAGGAATGTACTGTATCTTCAATTTTCCTTCAAGAACTTTATCTCTCACAATGTATATATCAAGTTCAATGTGTTTAGTTCGAGCATGATAAACGGGGTTGGAAGCTAGAGCACTGGCACTTAGATTATCACACCACAAGTTGGGAGATGAGGCATGCTGCAATTTGATTTCCTTGAGGAGTGACTCAATCCAACTTATTTCAGCTAAGGCTTGTGCCAGTGCCCTATATTTTGATTCAGCACTTGATCTAGCAACTACTTGTTGTTTCTCTGAAGACCAAGCAACTAAAGTATCTCCTAGATAAATACAATATCCAGCTGTCGATCTCCTGTCATCTGGGCAGGAAGCCTAATCGGCATCAGCAAAGCCAGTGATGTTTAGATTGTCACTTTTCTGAATCCATAAGCCCTGTTCCATGGTGCCTTTTAGATTTATGAAGACTCTCTTAACTGCCTTCCAATGAATGTCCGAAGGAGTTTGTAGAAATTGGCTTAGTTTATTTAATATAAAGCTGATGTCTGGTCATGTATGAGCAAGATACTGAAGACCCTATTGCACTTCTATACAAGAAGGGATCTGCCATGTTTTCACCTTCATTCTTGGATATGCATTTGCCTACTACCATAGGTGTTGTACAGGGATTAAGATGTTCAAAGTTAAACCTTCTTAGTAGGTCCTTGATGTACTTAATTTGGGTGAGACGCATCCCTGATTCATAACTCCTCACTTCAATCCCTATCCCTAAGAACTGATGTAATTCACCTAAGTCTTTCAATGCAAACTGTGAGTTTAGCTTGTTAATGAAGCATTGAAGTGTCTTGTGATCATTTCCAATGATTACAATGCCATCAACGTATACCAAACAGAAAATTACATGTCTTTCACTTATAGAGAAGAACAATGAACTGTCAGCTCTGGACTTGATGAACTTCCAGTCTAGAAGAGTTCATTTTAGCCTTTCATACCACGCTCTAGTGGCTTGCTCAAGTCCATAGAGAGCCTTTTCAAGTCTGTAAACAAACATTGGGTTGGCTTTGTCAATGAAGCCCTCTGGCTGTTTCATAAAAACCACTTCACTTAGCTTTCCATTTAGGAAAGCATTATTAATATCAACTTGTCGAATACTCCAACTTTTAGAGACAACAAAAGATATTATTATTCTTAGGGGTGGAGGCCTTGATTACTGGACTAAAGGTCTCATGGTAGTCAATGCCTGAAGTTTTTAGGAATCATTTCGCAACAAGCCTTGCTTTTTGTACTTTAAAACCTTTCATTCTATGTCCCTTTTTAGTCTGAAAACCTATTTGTTACCTATGATCTTCTGATTGATCAAAGGTGGTATCAACCTCCAGGTTCAATTCTTTATCAGAGCCTTGTACTCCTCTTCCATAGCCTCTCTCCAATTATTGTTAGACAGAGCTTCAAGAGCATCATTAGGTTCAGATTTGTTCAGTTTAATTCTGGAATTTTTGCATAGAGTTGTGTAAACTTTTGGTTTGAAAATACCTGCTCTACTTCTGGTAATCATAGGGTGCTCAACATTCTGTTTTGCAACCTCTACTTGTTCCTAATTCATCTGATTATTTAACTCAGTTTGATCTGCTCCAATACCTGCAGTATTTTCCCGAGTTTCCCTTACAGTACATTCATGTCTAATTTCTGAATCCCCATTTTCATTTACCTCTAGAATCTCAGTTTCAATTGCCTCTGGTGGAATCGAATTGCGAGATGTTGCTGATTGAGTTGAACTAGGATGGAATGTACCAGATGAATCTACAGGACTAGAGTTAAGTGGGATGCTGAGTGGTAGGTATTGGACAATAGTTTTAGATGAATAACTGGTTTTATTCAGGAAACCATGCTGAAATGGGAACTCCTTTTCATTGAAGACAACATGCCTGGATAGATAAATTTTACCAGTAGAACCGAGGTGTTTATAACCTTTGTGAGAGTTTCTGAAACCAAGGAAAACACATTTAGTGGACTGAAAGCTAAACCTATGGGGGTGGTAAGGCCTTAGGCAAGGAAAATAGGCACATCCGAAGACTTTGAGTGACTTGTAGTTGATTTGTTCATCATTCAGAACTTGGCAAGGTGATTTCATTTGAAGAATGGGTGTAGGGAGTTTGTTAATGAGGTAGGTAGCTGTGTGAATGATTCCCACGAGTAATGCAAGGGCATGCTTGCTTAAGCAAGGAGAGCTAAACCAGTTTCAGTAATATGGAGGTGTTTTCTTTCAGCTCTACCATTTTGAGAAGAGGTCTAGGGATATGAAAATCTCATGTGAATGCCTGATTGAATAGTGGACTCAGTAAATGCTCTAAACTCACTTCCCCAATCAGATTGAAGTGTTTTGATCTTTCTATTGAATTTGTTTTCAACTAAATTTTTGAATTGAACAAAGGAGTTCAGTGCTTCAGACTTGTTCTTCATGGGATAAATCCACATGAACCTACTATAATCATCTATGAATAAGATATAGTACTTCAAACCTGAAGTTGATTGTAAGGGGGCTGGACCCCAAACATTAGTGTGAACTGTTGGGAATTTACTTAATC